AATATATATAACAAAATTTAACATTTTAACCATTTTTAAGTGTACAATTTAGTGACGTTAAGTACATTCACATTGTTGTGCAATCACCACCACTATCCATTTCCAGAACTTTTTCATCACTCCAAACAAACTCTGTACCCATTTAAGCAATAACTCCCCATTCCTGTCTCCCCCCAGCTCCTGGTAACCTCTATGCTAATTTTTTTTTTTTTTTGGTGAGGAAGATTGGCCCTGAGCTAACATCCGTGCCCATATTCCTCTATTTTGTATGTGGGACACCACCACAGCATGGCTTGATGAGCGGTGCATAGGTCCATACCCAGAAGCCGAACCTGTAAACTCTGGGCCGCCAAAGTGGAGTGAACAAACTTAACCACTACGCCACCAGGCTGGCCCCCCTCTATGCTAATTTTTGCTTTTTGAATTTGACTACTCTGGGTATCTCATATAAGTGGAACCATACAATGTTTGTCCTTTTGTTTCTGGCTGCTTTCACTGAGCATAATGTCCTCAGGGTTCTTCCATGTTGGAGCATGTGTCAGAATTTCCTTCCTTTTTAAGGCTGAATAATACTCCATTGTGTGTGTAGACCACATTTTGCTTATCCACTCTGTTGATGGACACTGGGTTGCTTCCCCTTTTGGCTGTTGTGAGTGATGCTGCGTGTACACGGTGGACAGGTATCTGAGTTCTTGCTCTCACTTCTTTGGGCGTCTGCTCAGAAGTGGAGGTGTGGGTCGTGTGTCTGCGGTATTGTCTTATGTTCCTGAGCCCCCAGGCTCAGTCTGAGTCTGAGCTTCACCTGAAATCTCACCTCACCTGGCTTCTTCCATCTCCTGGGAGCATTTCCTTAATGAGTCACTTGCACTTGAATCCTTGGCTCTGAGTCGGCTTTGGGGAGCACTCGACCTCAGACACCCCTGGGGTGTGGTGCAGTCTTCTACCGAGACACGAGCGGGAGCTGCTCCCCGTGGAACAATGAGCGATAATACTCATTTAACCTGGCACCCTCATCTTCTCCCATCTCCTAGTCTCTGATAGGTTTTGTACTCAGAAGAAAAAACAAAACCCAAGTACTTTGGCAAAGTGCAAGAGGGGGGACTCTTATCATATCTGGGGACCCTTAGGAAGGAAGCAACCAGGAGCAAAATTTTCTGTTTATTAGTCCCAAATTCTGAATATTTTCTTTTTAAGGAACAGTCTCCCCCATTACGATCACTGTGCTCCATGGCATCTCTCCCTTTCTCTCAGTGCCTGCCTTGTATAAGGGACTAACAGCCTTGTTAAAAAAAACGTCTCCAAGGACCAGTGAGTAAGTGGCTTTAAAACTCATCAGGCCAGCAGCAGTGACTTACACAGCTGCCCCACCACAGTTCCCTCCTGCTCCTCTCATCTCTCCCTTCTTTCATTCGAGACAACCTGGCATTTATTATTAGAGAACGGTACTAAGAAGAATGAAGAGAACGATATAAAAATACAGAATATTTTTGACTTGGACGTTTCTAAGCAAGTTTACGGAGCGAGGATTTCTTATCCTGCATCTGGCTGTGGTACCTGGACTGGTGCACAGGTCCTGCTTTGTCTCCCTCTCAGCCTCCAGTAGGGGATGCAGGCCTCTTCTCTGCTTCTCAGGCAATCTCCGCCCCTTCAGGGAGGGGTTTGAGCCGGGGTTGCGACCACACCTGCTTCTCTGGTAGCTGAGGACAGGCCAAGGTTGGACACAGTCCCAGAGGGTGGCAACTAACATTGACAAACACCTGCGCTGGTCCCGGGCCATGCCAGGTGCTTTGCCGCTCCGGAGCAGGCGTGAGCTCCAGTTCACAGATAAGGAAACAGAGCTCAAGGTCACCAAGCTGTTGGGCAGTGGAGGCAATCGCAACACGCCTCTCTGACTCCAAAGTCTAGTCTCTGTTCTCCTGTGGTGCCCCGGGCTGCCTCCACCTGGGGAAGGCGGAAGGCCGATACCTTGAATTCCTTCCAGTCTATTTTCAGTCCTAATGAGCAAACACACACTTTTAGGTAGATTTGGATGACCAGCTCTGAGGTCATCTCTCTTGAACTTTCCAGGTGGGCTTATTTCATTGGATTCCATTGGACCTCAGAGCTGTGTAGAGGTATGAGACATAGCTGGTGTGTGCTCTTCCTGGCCTAGGGATGTCAGACATGGACTCAGGTCCCCACAGATCTCAAGAAAAGCTTTAAAATTTGTTTTTTCATTTTAATGGTGATCTAAGAATTAAATATGAGCATATTCTGGATCAGCACTTCTTAACCAAGTAGTGTTTGACACGTGCATTATGATCAAGTATACACTGAGAGAAAGCCAGGGATCTCACGGGTGCTGAAGGTTTTGCAATAGTTCAGTGAGACAGGGAGTGGAGACACGCAGTCATTTCCTGGCTCGGGCAGCGCAGGCACACACAACTCCGAAGAACCTGGCCCACAGCAGTCAGGAACACACTCACGCTGCAAGCAGGTGAACTGAGCCAAGGTCCTGGCTTTAGATATAGGAATTTTCAATATGTAATGAACAAAAAAGGCATGGAGTAAATATGCAATGAAATTTTTTCATAAAAATGTTTTAAAAGAAATGTTTAAGAATTGTATTTTGGGGTTTGCTATTACATTATTTGGCACATCAAAGTAATGGGCTAATGATTAAAGATACAATCATAGTTAAAGAAAAAAATGACAAGAATAGAGACTTAATTGAAATTCCATCATGCTCAAAATTCTTTTAAAATAAGTTTCTAACAGTCTAGCAGGAAGAACCTCCAAAACACCTTTCTGTTACTAAACCCAACGTTGGTGATTTGTGTCTCTTTAACTCTAGTAATGTTTGTTTTGGTTCATATTTACATGGTATATCTTTTTCCATTCTTTTACTTTCAACTTTTCCTTATATTTAAAGTGTTTCTTTTGGAAACAGCATATAGTTGTTTTGTTTTTAAATCCAGTCTGACAATCTTTGTGTTTTCATTGGAGAGTTTTGTCCATTTATATCTAATGTAATGTAAAATGTAGTTGGGTTTATGCCTACCATATTGCTAGTTGTTTTCCACTTGTCCTTTTTATTGCTTGTTCCTTTATCCTCTCTTTCTTGCCTTTTTTTTTTGATTAATCAAGTATTTTTTCCCATTTTTTTCTATATTAGCATATTATACATTCTGGGACTTTAGGACCATATTCTCTTTTAAAGAAAAATTAAAACATGTGACCTGATGTGTTTCCAAATTTTCCCTGTAGTTACAGTAGACTTTAAGTATCTGAGCTCTAAACCTACATAATCGCATGGAGGTGATGGCTAAGGAGACAACAGAGTGGGGAGAACAGAGACAGAGGCTCGAGAAGGCAGGGGGAGAGGGGGCAGTTGGACTTAGGGAAGAATGAACCAGGGAAGGACAAGGAAGGGGGTGGACTGTAGTGTCCACAGGGCACAAGGACTAAAAGAGCCTCCTGACTTGGGATGAGGGGCTGGCCAGACTGAGCCCTGTCCTCCACACAGCTGTGGAACACTGTCAGGCTGCATTTGCCTTTCTGCCTCAGACCCCTCTGGTGGGTCAGGTGATTCTCGGGCTCACTGCCACAAGTGTGTCCCTGGTCAAGTCCATCCAGCTGGGGGGCCACGAGGCAGCAGGCAGGGTGGGAAGGCTACTCCTGTCCCTCTCACTCCTCCTCTGCCCCTTCAAATGCAGGTTGAAAAATTCACAGGTTACTAGGAAAATGACCAGCTGCCCCAGAGCTATTCACCCAGGAGTCGGAGCATCCCCTGGGATGAAAGACTTGTCGTCAAACACTTACACAGCCATGTGTCTGGCTGGGTTCTAAGAGCTTTACGAATATTAATTCAATCATCATCACAACCAAAAGAAATAGGTGTCATCATTATTTTTATCCCATTTTACAAATGAAGCGGAGAGGTTAAGTAGCTTGCCCAAGGGCACACAGTTATTAGGTGGCAGAGCTGGGATTTGGATCTGGGCAGTCTTGTTCACACTCCACGGTCTCAAACACAGCTTCTTCCTGTGGTGACCATAACAGTGAGGGTTCTGACGCCACCTGGCTCTCCTTCATATAACTTCTTTCCAGTCTACTCATCCCAAAACTCTGTCTTACGTTCCAATCTCTTTCTTTGCCTCCATGCTTGTTGCATTTATTTGAGTTTTTGTAGGAGGTGTTATTACCCTTTGCAATAGAATACTCAAATGTGATAGCCAAGATACACTGAGAGAAGAATTCGACACCACTCAATGTAAGATTGAATTGGACATAAAAACACATGACAAGTACTTATGACGAGGACTACTAGATTTAGAGCCTGCTGCTTTTTTGTTCTTTTTTGCATTAAAATCAAGGAATTTGATGTTGATTCTGACTTGAATGTTAAGTATCCTACTGGCTTTTCTATACAATTCTGAAACCATGGGCACTTTTTCTCAGAAGGCTGGTTAGGCTCAGCTGTATGGGGACGGGCTTGGTGGCAGTGTGGGAAGTGCGCAGAAATCACCATGACGGTAGTGTGTTTTATGCGAGTGTGCCTAGAAAGGAGTCTCAGGTCCGCACACACGTGCCTCCCCCGCAGTACACCCTCCCTGCAGGACCTGTGGGCTCCAGGAGGCTGAGTCAGGAGACACATTAACTTCTGCTGTTCTGTCCTGTCTTATGACCAGTCTAGAGACCTCACGTGTCTTTTGAGAATTCAACCACAACTAGCATGATTAATGGCATCAGAGATTCTTTTACTTAAGGAAACCTGACAACCAGAAAAACAAATCAAGCTTGGATTCTGTGATATTGTGTCTGGGTTTCCTGTTTCATGAATTATGCAATTCACTCTAAAGGCTATTTTCATGTTAGGTTTGCATAACTTGATAAACTGTCTCAAAAGAAAACCATACAGCGTGATACTCACTGCCAAACAATATATACATCAAGAGACTAGCATAATACCATAGGATCACATCTTGAGTTCAACATTCAACAGAGTGCATTTTACCCACCTGTTACCAATGTGTCACTCGGAATGTCTTCTATTATGCATTTCTCTTCTCGTTCCCCTACGTGGAAATAAAAAGCAGTTGAAAGTGAAAAACAAAAACTTAAAAGAAGTGTTAACATTTGCATTTCTGTTGCTTTAGCCTCTCCTGGTAGTACTTTGAAATGGATCAATTGCAAGTGATCCTGCTTATTGAGTGTTTGCATTTCATTGGATAATTTTGTAAATTGATTTTTGTGAGAAGTGACATATGGTGGCTACACTCGGGCAGGTGGTTGCAGCAAATCCCAGGGAACAAGATAAAAACATCCTGGGACCTTTCCAAGCATGATGACATCAGAATTCCTTCTGATTTGTTACTTTTTAAGAATTTTGAAGGGTTCTAATGGAGTGAAAGACAATGCAGGGCCGAGGTACAAGCTTTGGGGGAACCCCGAGTGCCAAGCCCAGCAGATGCTGTGCTGTAGGGACCAAACCGAAACAGCCATTTTCTGGTTGTCCCACTGCTCGGCAGGAGGTGGAGGAGGAGGAAGTGTAGAGGGTGTCTTGGGGGTGAGAAATGAGAGGAGGGAGAGAGACTGGTGTGGGAGAGGAAACTGGAGTGTGGAAGCGTGGGCAGGAGGTGAAGCAGCAGCCGAAATGGAAACATTCTGACCCGGGAAGAGGGGAGAGCCTGAGTTTGACTGAGGCCTCACCCTGAACGAGACTCTCCGAGGCTCAGTTTTCTCGTAAAAAAGAAGGAGTTAATTACCCATTGTGGCCCATTAGGTCCTTTCAGCTTTGGACCCAGTGTTTTCTTTTTGAATGATTTATTTTGGAATATTTATAGACTCTCAAAAGATAGTACAGGAGGTCCCACGTACCCATCGCCCAGCTCCCTGCAGTGGTAAAATCTCACATAACTAGGGAGATTTTACTCCCTAGTTGTCATGTGTCATGTCACTGTGTCTCAGAATCTGGGAATCAGAGGTCGGCGGGTACAGTCAACTGGACTAGAGACCTAATGTGGATTTCACCAGTTTTTGCACACACTCATTTTCTTCACTGTTAGTGTACGGTCAAAAGAATGCTTCAAGAAGTAATTATGAACACTCTTGAACAAGTGGGAAAGTGGGAAATAATGCAGCATTGTAGTTGTGAGTAAGAGATTGGCATCGTGTGGCCTGGGTGATTTCACTGAACTGCTTTTAGCTGTGTGAGTATGGACAGGTCAGCAGACCAGGGCTGTCATCTCTAAAGCAGGGAAGTAGTGGTAGTGCCTACCTCACAGCAATGTGGTAGGGCTCAGACGAGGACCATAGTACGAAGTCCTTAGCTCTGTGCCCGGCACATGGTAGGCATTCAGTCAAGAGTGTTGATGTTGGCTTTTCTGGCCCTGGGTGGAGCCACTGCTGGATGTATTCCCAGTGTAAGGCAGTGGGCCGCCAGGCACACGGGCCTTCTGTAGCTGTCTCATCTGTGACCCTGCCCCCAGCCCCTCCTGGCACTGCAGCCCATCTTCTTCTTGTCCTCAGGGACCTTGCTCTATTTGGGGCTTCAGCCTTTTCCTTCCTACTGGCTCATGCCCTCCACCTCAGTCTCCCTCCCTGACCACTGTCTTAATCTGTTTGGGCTGCAATACCAAAATACCATAGACTGTGGAGCTCATAGACAAATTCATTTCTCACAGTTCAGGAGCCAGAAGTCCGAGAGCAGGGTGTCAGCATGGTCAGGTTCTGGTAGGACCCTCGTCTGGGTTGCAGATGGCCGCCTTCTCACTGTGTCCTCACATGACAAAGGGGCGAGGGAACTCTGTGGGGTCTCTGTTGTGAGGTCACTAGTTCCATTCGTGGGAGCTCTACCCCCATGACCTAGTCGCCTCCCAAAGGCCCAGCTCCTAACACCATCACATTGGGTGTTAGGATTCCAGCATGAATTTTGAAGAGACACATTTAGGCCACAGCAACTACCAATGCTGTCCCTTTGAGAAGCACTACAGCACAGTGTTTACAGGCCTGGACTCCGGGGCCACTGTCGGGGCTCACCTCCTCTGCCACTTACCTTCTGTGTGACTTTGGGCACGCCCCTTAATTGCTCTCTGCCTCAATGTCCTCATCTATGAAATTGGGATAATAATAGTACCCACTTTATAGATGGTTGTAAAGATCAAATGATATATGTGTAAAAGTGCTGAGAACAGCCGCTGGTACATAGGAAACACTCTACAAATGTTTTCCATTATTATTTTATAGCCTCACATCTTGAAGGAGTCATCTGGATGAGCTGTCCCCACTTCTCCATCTCCACTCAATTCCATGAAACTTTTTATTATGGAAATTGTGAAGCACACAAAACTAGAGTGTTGTATGATGACCCCAATCTTGTCCTTTAACCACACACACACACAGTTTTTCCTGAAGTATTTTAAAGCAAATTCCAGATCAGAGGTCATTTCCACCCATCAGGACTTCAATATGCATCTCTAACTAATAAGGGCTTAAAAAAAGAACTTAACCACCATGCCACTGTGACAGCAAACAGAATTAATAGTAATTCCTACTATCATCTAATAGCCAGTTCATAGTCAAATGTCCCTGATTCTTCTAGAAGGTCTCTTTATAGTTGATTATTTGAATCAGTATTGAAACAGGATCCACACTTTGCCCTTGGTTGTGATAATTCCTAAATCTTTTATTCTGTTGGGTCCCCCATGCTCCCAAACACCCTTGTTTCTCCCGATGATTTGTTAGAGACCAGGTCACTTGGTTCAGAGTCCTACATCCCAGGTGCTGGTGAAAGCGTCCTCTGGCGCTGTTTGACTCAGCACAGCACACACTTCACGTGCACACGAATCTCTGGGGTCCTGGTAACGTGCACCGTCCGATTCTAGATTCTGGGCCAAGCCCTGACGCTGTGCTCTGTGGACCACTCTGCATGTGAGGTGAACTGCGTCCTCCTCCTGCTTCCCAAGACTGGTATGTGGAGCGAGACGCTTGACCAGACTCAGGTTCAGATTTCCAAGTGAGAGTAACAGATGTGTGCTTCCTACCGCCTCACAACAGAGTTCAAGGTGTCTAGTTGTCCTGCTTTGAGTGACCAAAGATCCATGAGTGGGTTCAGTGCTGTCCACTGGAATCTCCATTGTCAGGAGCCTGCTCAACCTGGTGGCTTTAACACCCAGTATGTTCTCTCCCTCGGTTCGTTATTTCCCTAGGTGTTGCTGTAAAGAAAATGTTCTCTCATCAACTAGCTAGTTATCCTGAAATACAGTTTGCACAGGAAAGGCAGGCTGCGTGCTTGATTCTTTCCCTGCAATCATCCGTTTTCGAAGTAAAACATTGGTGCCCTAGTAACCTCCTGGTAACCAGTGGGCCGTCCTTAAAGTATCATTATGTTTTATATTTAATGCTTTTCTGGTATATTAGAGTCATTATTCTTTTGGATGCTCAGATTACCCCACATTTGGCCAGTGGAAGCCCCTTCAATTTGGCTCGTATGTCCTTTTTTCTGTGTGTGGTAAAATACACACAACAAAATTTACTTTCTTAACCATTTTAAATGTACATTTCAGTGGTATTAAGAACATTCACACTGTTGTATAATCACCACCATCCATCTCCATAATTCTTTTCATCTTATAAAATTGAAACTTTATACCCATTAAACAACTCCCCATTCTCCCCTCCCCCCAGCCCCTGGCACCCACCATTCTACATTCTGTCTCTATGGATTTGACGACTCTAAGTACCTCATGTAAGTGGAATCATACAGTATTTGTCTTCTGACTGGCTCATTTCACTGAGCATGATGTCCTCAATGTTCATCCATGTTGTAGCAGGTGTCATGGTTTCCTTCCTTTTAAGACTGACGAATACTCCATTGTATGTATGTACCACATTTTGCTATCCTTTCATCCATCAATGGACACTTGCTTCCATTGCTTCCAATCGGTTGCTTCCACGTCTTAGTTATTGTGAACCATGCTGCCATGAACATGGGTGTACAGATGTCTCTTTGAGACCTTGCTTTGAATTATTTTGGGTTTATACCCAGAAATGGCATTGCTCAATCATATGGTAATTCTATTTTTAATATTTTGAGAAACTGCTATGCTGTTTTCCACAGCAGCTGCCCCATTTTACATTCCCACCAACAGTGCACAAGGGTTTCAATTTCTCCACATCCTTGCGAACACTTGTTTTCTGTTTTTTTTGAGAGTAGCCATCCTAATGGTTATGAGGTAGAATATTATTGTGGTTTTGATTTGCATTTCCTCAGAGATTAGTGATGTTGAGCATCTTTTCATGTGGTTATTGGTCATTCATATATCTTCTTTGGAGAAATGTCTATTCATTTGCCGATTTTTGAATCAGGTTGTTTGTTTTTTGTTGTTGTTGTTGAGTTTTAAGAATTCTCTATATATTCTACCCATTAACCCCTTATCAGATATATGTTTTGCAAATATTTTCTCCCATCCAATGGGTTGCATTTTTACTCTGTTGATAGTGTCTTTTGATGCATAAAAATTTCAAATTTTCATGAAGTCCAATTTGTCTATTTTTTCTTTTGTTGCCTGTGCCTTTGGTGTCATATCCCAGAAATCATTGCCAAAGCCAATATCATGAAGTTTTCTCTGATATTTTTGTCTAAGGGTTTTATTCTTTTAGGTCTTAAGTTTAGCTTCTTGATGCATTTTGAGTTAATTTTTGTGTACGGTGTTAGGTAAGGGTCCAACTTCATTCCTTTGCATGTGGATATCAACTTTTCTCAGCATTATTTGTTGTTCCCCATTAAATGGTCTTGGCACTTTTACCAAAAATCATTTGATTATATACATGAGGGTTTACTTCTGGGCTCTATATTCTATTCCCTTGGTCTATATGTCTGTCTTTATGCCAGTACCACCTTGTTTTGATTACTGTAGCTTTGTAGTAGGTTTTGATATCAGAAAGTAGGAGTCCTCCAGATTTGTTTTTCTTTTTCAAGACTATTTTGACTATTTGGGGTCCCTTGAGATTCCATATGAATTTTAGGATGGGCTCTTTCTATTTTGGAAAAATACATCATTGGGATTTTGGTAGGGATTGCATTGAATCTGGAGATCACTTGGGGTAGTATTGGTACTCTCGCAATATTAAGTCTTCCAATCCATGAACATGGGATATGTTTCCATTTATTTATAT